CTGCCGTGGATTCTTTTAAAGCTTGCTCTTGGTTTATTAAGCAAGATAAAAACTCGTCACGAAAAATATCGCTGATGATTATAGTGGTAAGAATGTATAATGCAAATTTAATATCTGAACTACACATAATAGTTACATATGTAGAACTGCGGTAGCCGAAAAATTGCGTACGTGAATATTGAATAAATCTAGTTTCACCAGTTGAAATTATTAGGTATAGAAGAGCAGAGATAGAAACACAATTTAATTCAGACTATTACTCGCGAATTTTTATTATATTTACTTTTATTTTTTTCACTGTATTTTTAATGTTGTGTAACGAAATTTGAAGAAAAAAAAATACTGAATAATGGTTACATAATATATTTAAAAGCAAAACTCAGTGTATGTGTATCATAACACATAAAAATAAAAATTTTTATTCAACTTAAAAATGCTTATCGTTATTTCTTTCTCCAAAAATTTTAATTTTTTAAAACTGTCTTTTTTCGTCGACTTCCTATATTGATAAACTTTAAAAAATTAGCTTTTTATACAAATTGAAAATCGTTAAATAATCTTTTAAGAATGAGTAAATTTAAAATATGCAAAATAATAAAATGTACAAAATCACGCAATAATTCACGTTTTAATTTTCATGTTTTATAATCCTTTGAATGATTCAAAAAATTAAATTTTAAAATCTCTATTTTTAAAGAATTATGTATTTTAATTAGCGTTACATGCGATGTAAAACTTTTATTGCTAATGCTGTCACTCATAATTTAATTCTGATAATGGATTTTCTACTTTTTATGTCAAAAATGTAGTTTATATTAGATGAGAGTATGAAATGGAAGTAACGCAGCGTTGCGCGTTGGACATATTTACATATTTACTTTAACTTCAATAATCGTTTTACGAAAAAAAAACTTTGACATTAACAATTCTCTTCAAAGGTATATATAATTCTGTTTTTGAAATACCTTTTTAAAACAATGCTTGTCAAAAATGATACATTCTAACTTGCAACAGATTTCTTCCAGAAATATGAAATGTGTCTTTAATGTCTGCGTGCAAATATTTGCAGAAACTCAGCTTTTCAGGTATGTCAGTTGAAAGTTATATGTGATGTGAAGTTCCAAAATATCATATGATAGCGTATATAGTAACAGAACAGTGCACAGAGAGAAATATTTCTACATATGAATATTCCATCTATTAATAAAATTTCAATAGTTTCTATATATTAAATTCAATATTTTTTATATATAAAATACAATGTTACATGAATTTGATTATCTTGACTATGTGTCTATGTATATATTTATTGTAACGCTGGCTTATTAAAAAAGTAGTGCTAGTATATGTATAATCAGTTTTTGCCATTATGCTAATGGAATTCGTATAATTAGGAGAACATACAAGTTATAAATAGTAGATGCCGAGGAAAAAAATGACAACGTGTATGCTTATTTCCCAAAGGTCCTCAGTTTTTTTTTATGATAAAGTGTTACTGATTTTATTTTGTAAATAAATTTTTGTAAGTAAGACAGCAGCACAAAGTTATAAAGCTGGAATATTAAAAAGAAAAAAATGAAAAGAAAACTATTGATCAAAGAATATGAAAATATTATAAAAAATTTTAAACAAGAAGTTACATAATAAAGCTGCAAAAAGAAATGTGCTGAGTCGTTACATTTACGAAAAATAACGCATTTAATGGAAATGCCGAGGGATCAACCACAACTAAAAAATGTACAGTGATTATTAATTATGACAATACAACACACTTTAACGCTAGCCATTGCTATTGTACTGCTAGTATTTTCGTATTGTCAGTACTACTATCTATTACCTCATTTACTGCCACAATTGCCAAGTATTGCTAATGTATTGCTATATATATTGCTAGCATTGCCTATTTTTATTAGAATTATTACTGTATTGCCGTTGCTGCAATATATTTCTAAAGAAATGTACATTGATTGCCATAGCAATTGAGCTCTCGGAAAATACCGTTACGTACTTCCGCTTCAATTTTTATGTCTAATGTACATAAAGTATCGCCTGTCAATATAAAATGAGATATCGGTATCTAATGATAAATGTGCAGTATTGACATATACAAGGTTATCACATGTACTTATGTATATTTATCTAAATTCTGCTTTATATCCTTATATTCAGATATATAATAATTTCGCGGAAACGATGAATGTTTATTCGTTACCATGTTACAACTAAGCGTTATCAATGCATAATACATAATTTTTTATATGTCTAATATAGCAACATTGATAGCTAGTGTTTATATATACATATGTACATGAAAAAACACATCTTTATACACCACAGTCTCTAGTTAAAGTGATCGTGAAACTTCGCGTTTCAAAGCACTGTTTGAAAATGAAATTACTCGTGAATATCCTGTTAGTAATTACGCTATCGATGCCTATTGTGATTCTACCTGCAATTTGTCAGGAAAATCCAATAATGATTTTACCATTCCCTCATCGTATGATGATATCGGCGCCGTATAGAAGTGGTTGCCCACCAGACCAGAGGAAAGATAAGCACGGAAAATGTCGTTTGAGCATTTAACACGCAAAGAAGGTATTTATTATGCAACGTAATTATAAAAGTGTAAAATGAGAAGTAAAAAGATCATGTTGTTCTAAAAATACACAGATCCGCATTTTGTTTACTTCCATTTTTCCTGCATTCTGCTTTCCTGTTTTTTTACCTACAAATGTGATGATTTCACATGCAAAATGTTTATTTCATCATTTATTTTACAATTTATATCATGAGCTTTTTTAGCGGCGGATCATTCTAGGTTTTAAGTATTCTTGACGTCAAAAATACTTAATTAATTTTTATACGTAGATGAGATTTTTATAGCAATCGTAGTTCCCTGGTTTTCAGAAATTTAAATTTTATCACCAACCAGATCCGTTCGCGTCGCGAGAAGGCTTACGTAATACGGAAGAATAAATAAGGAACTCGAGCGACGGACAAATAGATAGATTTCGTTTGGCTAGTACAATAAGAGTTAAGTTTGTGTGAATCAGACAAAAATTTTGAGACAGTCGAATATAAGCAGAATTTAAGAATATTTCATATAATTAGAAGAAAAGGCAGTTGTGCGCAAAATAGGAATAAAGTCTATTTGAGCATCGCGATCTGTCAAATTTTTTTATTGCCTCTCGAGTTTTGTGATATTGCTTAAAAATGAGATTTCTCCTACTGACAAGTGTGATATTGGCGACTATGATGATTGTACCTAGAGTTTGTCAAGAGAACATGAATAAACCGATACTTATAATACAACAAAACCCGAATGGGACCAATCCCACGTGGATACAACTGTTTATAAAGCCGGTTTATATAGTACCACAAGGCTACGCTGCCTACGTAATAAATGCTCCATTAAGAGCCAGCCCTTTACTTGCCTGCCCGATAGGCCATCGAAGTGATCGTTATGGAAAATGTCGTTATGTCATTTAACCTAACAAAGACGTGCAAGGTAAAGATAAAAAAAATAAAATAATACAACTATAAGCGAAAGAAGCCTTATCTGGCCAAAACGGATCTTGGGGCCCAATAATGTTTTTATGTGAATTTTAAACACATTTTTCAGTTCTACAAATTGCGCGCCGATTAATGTCAGACTCAAAACGCAATCCATAACTGAAGCTGGAATAGCAATACTACGAATTAAAAACGTAATTTAATATTTCGGCTTTAGTTAATGTGTTTCAAGTTCGATAGTAATCGGTGCGCAATCCGCAGAACTAAAAAATGTTTTTAAAATTCTACTTATAGAAATAATATTAGGCACCGAGGTTCGCTTTGGCCAAACAAGACTTCTTTCGTTCAGAAATGGAATAACTTTAATATTGAGTAACAAAATGTAATACCTAGATACAAGATGTCATCATATTTTTATCCATTTTGCTTCAGCCTCATGTTTAAGTGTAGTTATTGCGCAGAAGGAAATATCTATTTGCTACATTTTATCAAGACACGCGGTCTAACATGATCTCTTTCCAAACACACACACACACACACACACACACACACACACACACACACACACAAACGCGCGCGCAATAATTCTCCGCGCACGAGATAGATATTATTGCGTATCTTTTTCGGATTGACAGGCTTTTCGGGACATATTTGCTACGCGTTACAGCTATGTCCCATCAATAATCCTATTTTTCAAGCATCTTCTGACATATGAAAGTTGTACTTGACATAGGTGGATAACTAAATCTTCATATTGATTTTATCGTTTCTGCAAAAATGATTGTGGAATTTTATTAATAAATTTCTTTTTGACGACAGAAAAATTTGTACAATCAAAGAAATATAGATATTATAAATATTTAGAATGTTTAGAAACAGAGGAAATGCAAGCCTATCTATTTTTATTTATATCTTTCCTGTATATTTTTAATTTAATGATTTCTCACGGAATATTTATTCATTATGTGTGTAATAACTTGTTGTGTGTTACAAGTTATAAGTATTGTGTCTTTTGGGATACAATCATATTCTTTTTTAATTACACATATTTTAGCATATTAAGATAAATATTTCTTACGCATATAAATCTTTAACCGTTATCTATGTAAATCGTTTGTAGTCGCCAATATAACTTCTTAATATTCTCGACGAGACGATCGTCGAATTTCATTAATAACCGGTTTTGTTTGTAATAAGAAGGTTTGATCGAAAGAATATAAATACGGGTATCTACAACAGACACGTTACAGAATTTGTTTACCTGTTGGGACGTAAGAAATAACTTTGTGAATCAAGAGAAAAGTTATAACAATTCAAAAAAAATTAATAAAAACTGAAAAGTAAGACAGAAAAAGTCGACAAAAAGTTTGAAAAAGTGGGATGTTTAAATATCAGAAGAAATTAAGAATACAGTGTGCTTTTTTTTTAGAAGAAAAGAGGATTGAAAAGAAATAAGAATAAAATAAGATATTGGAAATACGTATAACAACAATATTTGAGAAATTTGATTTCTCGAATTTTTTTCTTATTTCCTGAATCTTGCAATATTGCAGGAAAATGAAATTTCTTGTGAAAATATTATTGGTGATTGTAATATTGGCGGCTATAATTCCACTTGATATGTGTCAGTATTATAAAATTAGTCCTTATCATATCATAACTGCTCCAATTAGAAGCCCTTGCCCGAGAGGTTACAGAAGAGTTAGCAGCAAGTGTCGTCGAATCATTTAAAATATAGAAATATAAGGTAATATTTAAAAGTATAATATTTTAAGTTCTAGTAGCGTTAAGTCTTTGAGTTAAATATCTTTTCATTATTGTATTAATACTTTTATGATATCATTTTTTCCTTGGTTAAACTTTTTATTCCATTGGAATACATCTAATTATTTATATCATATTTTCTTATAAAAATATATCCTAGAATAGCACATATTTTACTCAAGATACTTGCTTTTACGATCATGTTACAGAACCATATTATATTTTATTAAATAATATAATATTATTCTAATATAATTAATAATAATAATATAATAAACAACATATAAGTAATATATAAAATAATATTTATAATATCAAATAATATATAGTGTGCATACATTTCATTTTATTTATACACAACTTCATGATAACTTTTTTATAGAAAAAAATAGATTCAAGCACCAATATTAAACATATTTCTTATATTAAATATTCTTAAACTATTTTTTAAATCAATTTTCATATAGCAAAATATTTCTACGACACTATAATCAAGCTATACTATTTTTAAAATTGACTATTAGCTCCGCGGTGTGTTACAATTATGTTCCATTAATCTATTTTTGAAGTCTTTTCCTGATATATGAAGATTAGTATTTGACATGCGTGGGGTTAATAAATAATCGGGTAATTAAATCTTTATAGTGGTTTATCGTTTCTAGCGAACCAATCGTAGAATTTCGTCAATAAGATTGTTTCGATAATAAAAAGATTTGTGTACTCAAATAAACATCGATATTATAAATGTTTACAATGTCTACAGAAAAGGGAGATACGAGCATATCACATTTTATTTATCTTTCCTGTATTTGTTTATGGAATGTTTATTTATTACATCTTATATCTAGCTATGCGTTATAATTAAGTATCTTTCAAAATGCAATACTATTCTTATTTAATCATATTTGTTAGAATTTAGATTAATACTACTTATGCATACATTTGTAACATTTGTCGCCAGTATAACTTTTTCATTCTCGGAAACAATCGTCGAATTTCATCAATAACCAGCTTTTGAGCTTCATTCATAACAAAATTAAAATGACTTTATAGAAAGAATTATAAATCAGGTCTGTAACAGCTAACTTGTAGAATTAGTTTATGTGTTGGAGACAAATTTGTGAATTAGGAAAAAAATGATAATAATTCGAAAAAGTTAATAGAAACTAAAAAAATAGATAAATCTAATAACAAATGGGATATCTAAATGTAAGGAGGAATTGAGACTATTACATCTTTTATATAAAAAAAAAAGATTTAAAAAGAATAAAAAAATTAGGATATTAGAAATATATTTGCTTAATGAGATATTTGAGAAATTCAATAGATTTGCTAAACTTTTGCTTTTCGTTATTTTCAAATTTTATTAATTGCAGAAGAATGAAATTTCTTGTGAGGATATTGCTAATAATTGGAATATTGGCGATTATAATTTCATCTGTGAAACTTGTCAAATGTATTGAAGACGTATTCCACAAAGCATCATAATTGCTGCAAATAAATTTCTTTCTTGCCCAAATGGTCTACAAAGCATAAGCACAATAAATGTCGCCGAGTATAATTGCCAACATACAGAGATATAAGGTAATTATTAAAAATGTAAGAAATAAAATATCCAAATATCTAGCTATATAATAGAATTCACGTTAATCTTCTGTACTTTTTATCTATTTGTACTTTTCCTTTATTTTCGTATTCAGATGTAATTAGCTTACATATCAGCATATAATTATTTTCATTTTGTTTGCTATATTTTCGTCTATATAGAGATGTTATTCTACTATTTCAAATACATTAAAGTAAATAATTGTCAAGGTTGGATAAGTTAATCCTTTCTGTTAATTATGTTAAATTAAGTTAATGAGCTTCAGTTAAAATTAACTTAATTATGTTGCGTAAACTAAAACTAACCTAAATTAAATTTAAAATTAATAAAATTTATTACTTATATAAAATTGTAATGTTTTAGAATTAGATTACTGTAAACAAAAAAACAATTACAATATGTATTATATTATTTTTTTACTACATTTTTTTATACAAAAATGTATTTTTTCTTTAATTATTAAAAACTAACCAATAACAGTTAAAAAATTATACATAAAAATATTACATAAGAAATATAGATAAACATTATTAGGTAGATATTAATAATGATCATAACCGAATATCTGTAGATTGCATATTATTTAAATAAAACTTGAATTAACAAAACAGTACTTTTAAATAAATACAGTCGAACCTTGATAACTCGAATCTCAAGGAACTAGAAAAATTGTTCGAGTTATAGAGTTTTCGACTTATCGAAATTTGAGTAAAAGAGGGTTAATATATGAAAATTCGACTT